CTGCTTCCATCCTGCGACATTATCTGTAATATCATCAAACATCCACATTTGCCTATCCCAGGTCCTGGGTAAGGACTCGATAGGTAGACAAAATGCCAAATCCAGTCTGAACATCTGGCTGACTGTGCGATGATATAATAATAATAATAATAATAATAATAATAATAATAATAATTAGTAGTAGTAGTAGTAGTAGTAGTAGTAATAGTAGTAGTAGTAGTAGTAGTAGTAAAAAGTTTAGTTAAAGAACTTTTGGGGCAGTCCCCTCTTCAAAAAAAAATAAAAAAAAAAACTTCGCATAATAACTACTAATCTCTTTTTAATGGAGCATGGGAAGGAAGGGGGATCTACAAACACACACACACACACAAAACACACACAAGAACACCCCACGTTGCACGATTCCCACGTTGCCCGATTCTGTCGCACTTTCTCCAACCTTCATTCACGTCCTGGCGTTTCTCTTGAGAAAGAAACCTTGGGTGGCGGGACACGCAAATGAAGGGGTGTGGTTAAGCAAATGAGGCCTTTCTCGCGTTTTCTCTCTCTCTCTCTCTCTCTCTCTCTCTCTTTTTCAATGGCTCCCATTGTGGCGCCCTCTTTGGTCCCATTCAAAAAAAAGGTGACGTCAGCCGCGGATTGTCCCCGGACAATGGCGCTCTTCTTGCTCGCAGGGAGACTGGATGGGAAAGCGAGGGGAAGGGAGGGGATCTCAGAGAAAGCCCCCCCGTGGCTGGTGTCAATATCTCAGCAAGCCGCTGAGACCAAAATTGAAATAGCTCTGGGAACAGCTGCTGGCGGTCTCCTCGGATTGTAAATGGGGGGGGGAGAGGCGGGGGGGGGCCTGAAGGACCTCCTCGGCCCTGCGTTTTCTCAGCCTGTCTCTTTGCCTGCTGCGACCCCACCTTCCCTTCCCGCTGGGGCGCTTTTTTGAAGCAAGCCACCCAAATGAGGACAATTCTGAAGAATGCCAGAGCCCAGCTTTGGGGTTAATTGAGGGTACTTTGCTGAAACTCTGCTCCTCTCTCTTATGCTCAGAACAGGCTCAGCCTCTTAGCTGCATCCACAAAATAACAACAACAACAAAATGAACTTGGAGCTACTTTGGGGTACTGGTTCAGGTGCTGGCCTAGAAACCAGGAGCCTGTGAGTTCTAGTCCCACTTTAGGCATGAAAGCCCGCTAGTGATTTTGGGCCAATTACCAAGAGATTGTGACTTCTAGTCCTGCCTTAGACATGAAAGCTAACTAGATGATTTTGGGCCAGTCACCAGGAGATGGTGAGTTCTAGTTCTAGATATGAAAGCCCACTAGTGATTTTGGGCCAATCACCAGGAGATGGTGAGTTCTAGTTCTAGATAAGAAAGCCCACTAGTGACTTTGGGTCAATCATCAGGAGATGGTGAATTCTAGTTCTAGGTATGAAAGCCGCTAGTGATTTTGGGCCAGTCACCAGGAGATGGTGAATTCTAGTTCTAGGTATGAAAGTCTGCTAGTGACTTAGGAATTCTGGGAGTTGAAATCCACAAGTCTTAAAGTTTGAAGACCCCTGATCTAAGAGCTGTGGAAGGATGTGGGGGATCATCTAGTCTGACCCCTTGCCCAGGGCAGAAATCTGCAGCTTCAACCATCCACAATAAAGGGTTGTCTCACCTCTGTTGAAACAGTTGCCATGAAGGAGAGTCTACTATTTCTAGATGCAGCTTGATGATAGAATGCTAGAAAGGGATTTAAATGGGCTTTGGAGATTTGTATTTTGTTGATAACCTGCCTTTATTATTTTTATAAATAACTCAAGGCATGAAGCATACCTAATATTTCTTCCTCCTGTTTTCCCCACAAGAACAATGCTGTGAGGTGGGCTGGGTTGAAAGAGAGTAACTGGCCCAAAGTCACTCCAGTCAGCTTTCATGCCTAAAGTAGAATTACCGTAGAACTCAGAACCCCCTTTCACTAAGTAGGGATCTGCTACCCTCACATTCCCATCTGAGTTCTTTTAACACCTGCATCTTTTATCTGCTGAAGCCATCTGATTCTAACCATAAAAAGTTATTTTATTGTTATTGTTAGGACTGTTTCTTGATGCCCAGCCAAAAATCATGGATAAAGTTCGATGTTTCTTTTCTCTATGTTGTGTGAACCCAGCCCATGTCTTTAAAAGTATCCAGACCAAAAAGCTGGATTCACACGGTATGTGTGGCTAACCCCAAACGGAGAAATAAATTGAAACCAAACCCTCCGTTAAGCAGTACAAATACACACAAGGTTAAATTCATTCTCATCTGAAATTTGTGGGCAGGACAAGATTACCCGGTTTTGCATTTTGATTATGTCTGTCGAAAGCCAAGTCTGTTTCTGCCAGTGGCCTCTTTATTCTCTTTGCTTTAGAAAGTTGGACTTTAGGGAATCCTACCGCCTCCGTTCGTCACTTCGTTTATATATTTTTAGCCTTAAAAAGAGAGTTAGAAGAAAAACCCTCTCTGATATCCAGGGCAATTGAGAAACAGACCCTTTAAAAAAAAATCTGCCTCCCCATTCCCAAATTCATATCTATCTACCTACTATATCTATCTCACCTCCAAATAATTAAAAGCAGATTTAAAATAGAAGTGGTGTATGAAAAAAAAAACAGAAAAGGAGTTATATCTATAAAGGAAATAAATTAGTTATTAGAATAATAGTTTTGAACTATAATATGGAAGATGGATTCAGAGGATAAAGGTTATTTTATTAGTAAGCAATGATATTAGAATGAGAAGTAGAATATGATTGTGAAATAAACTAAGACTTTATTTGAATAAATAATAAGTGTATTTTAGATATGATATCTGTTCTGTAATGAACTAAAGAAACCATGCTTTATCCAAAACCTAAATACTATGGACATTAAGCTAACTGGAATATTGTAATTGAAATCAGATAAAAGTTAAAAACAGGATCCCCACTTCGGGAGTGGGGCGGCTTATAAATTTTAAAAATAAAATAAATAAAATATAAGTCAAAACTTGTTGATAAATGTTTTAAAGGATTAGAGTTATAACTAGCAATGTATTAATTTGAATTTAGTATAATAACTAAGGGAAACAGACAGGAAATTTTGGATGATGTAAACTGACGTATGTATGGAAAAGCTTATTATCGGACTATGTATTATGCAACCACCATGTTGCTTCCTTAATACCTGAAGCTTTGTAAAAATGGAAAATTAATTAAACTTGTTTTTTAAAAAAGAAAAAAACAGAAAAGAAAAGGCTAAATTCTGAATCCACCAACAGTGACAATGTTTTGGGGGAGGGGCAGATTTCCTGATCTGATCCAATTTGCTTTTTTTTTTTTTTCCTGTTTTCAAGTGGTGGGTTTCTTCTTCTGCCTAACTAAGAAAACAAGCTGGGGAGAGAGAAAAAAGAGCCAGGCTGGGTGACCATACTTAGATCTATAGTCCCCTGGAGGAACATTAATATAAATCAGTGTTCCTGCGTGGCTGGAACATTCGTTTTGGATGACCCTTGCATAGAAAGGAAACTGCTAGCTTTCTTCAAACAGGATGTTCCCTGGATTTCTTTGGAATTGGGCTGTCAAATCCAATCCGTTTTAGAACAGGCGAAAAATCCGCCTTGGCAAATCTTCGCTTTGCTCCACCAAAATGGGGCGTGTGGTTTTGTGTGTGTGTGTTTTTTTTCCCTCTCTCCTTTTTAACCCTCTTTTTTTTTTTTCTTCTTCCATCCATCCTAATCCAACCAATTTCATGCCTGGGAATATTCCCACTGGGCACCCCCCTGTGCCTCGTCCCCATGGTTTTAATTACCAATTTTTACTCTCCCGCTGTAAAAAAAAAAAAAAACTCCTTTGCCTCTGTTCAATGTATATCTCACACCCGGCCGGCCGGTTGAAGGAAGCCCTCAAAAGCGTGTCATTTGGCTTGGCAGGTTTTTTTTTTTTTTTTTTTTTGAGGGGGGGAGGAAATCCAAACACATCTAAAGAGCCTCGTCCTGGTTAAGTATCCCTGCCTGGGGGGTCAGACAACTTTTGACATGGGTTTTGGTAGCTGATCAAAGACACGGTTTTAGAAGCGGAGCCTATGGTTCCGTAAAAGGAACCGGGGGTACCTAAGAGAGCTTTAAGCTGCTTAGCAGGGCCGCGAAACATCTGTGGGTCAAATAGCAAGTGGTGCTTATGGTCTCAATGCGGTGGAGTGTGAGCTGTTGAACATAATTGTGCCCAACAGCTATCGGGGCAAAATCTCTTGAGCATAAAAGGAGGTGTTTTTGGCCGTGGCAGTGGGTGCGAATTTGGGCCTCTGGGCGCTGGTAAAACAGCACCCATCTTAGGACCATCCGCTATGAATAGAGAGGAGAGGAGAGCAAAACTGTGCATGACTTTTGCTCTGTACAAATTTGGAAAGAAAAAAGGGAAGGAAAGAAGGGAGGGAGGAGAGGGAGAGAAGAAGGAAGGAAGGAAGGAAGAAGGAAGGGAGGGAGGAAGGAAGGGAGGAAGGGAGGGAGAAAGAGAAATAGGAAGGAAAGGGAAGGAGGAAGGGAGGAAAAGAGGGAAGAAGGAAGGAAGGAAAATGAGAGTAGAAGAAAGAAGGGTTTGATGGGAGAGAAGAAAGGAAGGAAGGAAGGAAAAGAGATGGAAGGAATGCGGGAGGGAAGGAAGGAAGGAAGGAGAGAAAGAGAGGAAGGAAGGGAGAGGAGGGAGGAAGGAAGGGAGGGAGCAAGAGAAATAGGAAGGAAAGGGAAGGAGGAAAGAAAGGAAGGAAAAGAGATGGAAGGAATGCGGGAGGGAAGGAAGGAGAGAAAGAGAGGAAGGAAGGAAGGGAGAGGAGGAAGGAAGGAAGGAAGGAAGGGAAAGAGCACGAGAAATAGGAAGGAAAGGGAAGCTTTTCAGAACTAGCCTTCTTTTGCATGTTATCTAAAAGACACAAAATACCCACTTATGTGGCAGAAACCTGGTTTGTTCTAATGCCATTTCCCCCTCTTTGTCTCTTCTGCTTTCTTTCAGCGGCCACTCCACCTAACCCGGTTGACAAACCCTGCTTAAAGTTGAAGGTTTATGTTCGGCCAACAAGTAAGTAGGACCAGACGAAGGAAAGCATAGGAAATGTGATTTTTTTTTTCCAGAGTTCTATTTTGAACCAATCTGAAGTAATGCATGAATCAGAATGTACATTAAGTAGCAGCCCTCATTTTTTCCCCATATCTTCTGTTGCACCACTCAGCTCAGAAATATCAAAAGCCATCTTTTAAAAGGATGTGGTTTGAGAGTAAATAGAAATTCATCTTTGAAAAACAAATGACTCTTATTTTCCCTCTAGATTTATTCTGATACCCAGAGTATACTTATAAATGGGAAAAATGCAGTGTTGCTGAAAGGATGAACGCTCGGAAAAATGGGTAAAAATAGATGGTGGCTGCCGTTGAATCTCTGTTCTGTTAGCCATACAGATGGTCCTCGACTTACAACCACAATTGAGGCGCTTTCTGTGGCTAAGTGAGACAGTTGTTAAGTGAGTTTTTCCCCATTTTACAACCTTTCTTGCCACTGTTGTTAAGTGGATCACTGCGGTCGTTAAGTTAGCAACACGGTTGTAAAGTGAATCAGGCTTCCCCCATTGACTTTGCTTGGCAGAAGGTCGCAAAAAGGGATCGCATGACCCCGGGAACACAGCAACTGGGTCATAAATGTGAGCCAGTTGCTGAACGTCCAAATTTTGATCACGTGACCTTGGGAATGCTGCCAGGGTCATCAATGTGAAAAATGGACATATGTCACTTTTTCAGTGCCGTTCTGATTTCAAACGGTCACTGAGTGAATCGTTGTAAATCAAGGACTATCCGTCAAACCCAGTAGTAGACAAAAGGAAGGAGGTGCTTTTGTGTTTGGTTGCAGTCAAGGTAACCCCGGGGGTAGAGTAAGCTCAGTTGCTTATTGCAGACATGTCAAACACAAGGCCCGGGGGCCGGATGTGGCCCACGAAGTGATTTCATGTGGCCCGCGAAGCCATCCTGGAAACAGTGAGGGAATGGGCCCCGCTGCTTTGGCCCTGGCCCAGGCCAGCTGGGAGCCAATGTACAATTTTGTGGTGGCCATCTATGCTGAAACGCATTCAGTCTTAGCTCCACAAGGCTGTCCGGAAACAGTGAAGAACTAGGCCCTGCCGCATTGGCTCCACCCCCTGGGTGCATGCTGGGGAGGTGTCACCTTTTGTGAGGAATGAAGAAATGGACCATGCCTTGGCGTTTGCCCTGGTCCCACCCACTTCTGCCAGAGACCCTCAGATCTGTCCCACTCCTGCCCAGGCACCCTTGACGCGAACGATGTAGAACTGGCCATGCCCACCCAGTAGGCCACACCCACTGCATTCACGCCCACCCAGTAGGCCGCACCCACCCTGGCCACCACCACCCCCAGGGCAACCGCAATGCTGATGCAGCCCTCAATGAAATTGAGTTTGACACCCCTGTGCTATTGTGAGCATTACAACCTCATCAGGCAAATGACACAATTACACACTTGTGTCATTATGTAACCTCTTGTGAAATGTTACACCTGAGATACAAGTAGTCCTTGATTTATGACTCTAAGAGAGCCCACTCATCACGGTTGTAAGTCAAGGCAGTCATAAATTGCTTTAGCCACCAGACCCATCTGATTTTACAATCTTTTCTGCGGTGGCTGTTAAGTGATCTCTGCGGTCACTAAGCAAAACCATAAGCCGATTTTGCCAAAACAAAACCAGAAGTAAATGCCACTTTTTGGCAAAACAGTCATAAAATGAGGCCATCTCACTGCAGGATGCTGCAAAAAACAATAAATGCAGGCTGGTTGCCAGGCTCCCAACATGTGTCACATGACCATGTGGGGGGAAGAGTGCCAGTGTCATAACTTTGGAACTGGGTACCACCAAAGAGGATGTAAGTCGAGGACTACCTGTGTACAGTCAGGCCATTATGACTATTCATTTTGTGACCGTTCAAAGTTAAGACAGTACTGGAAAAAAACACCCTACCACTGTCACAGCATTCCTGTGGTCAGTTGGTTGTGATTCAGATCCTTGGCATCCATAATGTGTGGGTCACAGTGTCCTGGGGTCTAGTGATCACCATTTGTGATGATCCCGATCAGCTTCTGACAAACAAAATCGCTTGGGGAAGCCAGATTCACTTAATGACATGGTAAAAAAGGGTGATAACATTGTATGCAGTCACGGGATGATCTCTTAATGACTGCATTGTTTAATGACAGAAATTCTGGTCCCAATCGTGATCATAAGTTGAGGATTACCTGTTCAGGAAGACTAAAATCTCATGAAATGTCAATATTCCTGTGAGGAGCTCAGGTGATACCCACTCTCTTTTGAGATTTGATGAAGAAAGTTTTCTTAAAATATTTCAATAAAAATAGAAAACAGAAATAATTCAAATCTGAATTTGAATTGATGGACTAGTTGGCATTGTTTTTCAGAGACTGGATGGTGGGAAATCTATGGATGCCGTGCAAGTAGTCCTTGACTTATAACCATTTGTTTAACAACTGTTTAAAGCAAGGGTTTTCAAACTTGGCAACTTCAAGACTTGTGGACTTCAACTCCCAGAATTCCTCAGCCAGCCAGGGATGGCTGGGAAATTCTGGGAGTTGAAGTCCACAAGTCATAAAAGAGCCAAGTTTGAAGACCCTTGCCTTAAAACAAGGGTCTCCAAACTTGACAATTTTAAGATTTGTGTACTTCAACTCCCAGAATTCCTCAGCCAGCATGCTTGGCTGAGGAATTCTGGGAGTTGAAGTCCACAAGTCTTAAAAATTGCCAAGTTTGAAGACCCCTAGTTTAAAGTTACACTGAAAAAAGTGGCTTATGGCCAGTTTGCATATTTGCAGCCTCCCCACAGTCATGTGATCAAACTTCAGGTGCTTGGCAACTGGGACGTACCATATTTTCCCGAAAATAAGACCCAACCAGAAAATAAGCCCTAGCATGATTTTTCAGGACGCTCGTAACATAAGCCCCATCCCAAAAATAAGCCCCAGTTAAGATCGTCGGCCAGACAGATGCATTTAGTACCATATTTCCCTGAATATAAGACCTAACTGGAAAATAAGCCCTAATGTGGCTTTTGGAGCAAAAATTTGAAGTCCACAAGTCTTAAAGTGGCCAGGGTTGGACGCCCCTGTCCGACAGAAGAGGGAATACATTCAGAAACCGTTCAAGGCATCGAAGGTTAACCCAACAGTCATTCTGCAGTGTGGGTTGACTGTTCTGCATTGTTCTTGGTTTTCTCATGGTCCTTGCCAATGGCAAGTTTTTGTCGCTATTCTTCAAGAAAGGAGAAGTTGATCTACATTCAGTGAGAATCAGTGCCTGCAGCTGAAGGGAGGGGATTCCTCCAGAGAAGAATCTTAAATCTTCACTTCTAGGTAGAGGATTTTTTCCCCCCTCGATTCCATCTTACTAAAGTTCAGCGATTCTTTTTTCAGACATGGATAAAGATTACAGGCAATCCTCAACTTACGACCACAGCTGAAACCATAATTTTTGTTACTCTGCAAGGTCGCGGCTAGATGAGGGGCTCCCAGTTTCATGACCTTTTTTGGTCACAGTGGTTAAGTGAATTACTTCAGTTGTTAAGCAAATCATGAGGTCATTAAGCGAATCCAGCTTCCCCCATTGACTTTGCTTCTCAGAAGTCAGCTAGGAAGGTCACAAATGGTGATTGGATAACCCCAGGGCTCTGCAGCCACCATAAATACATGCCAAGTGGCCAACTTTTGATCACATCACTCTGGGAGATACTGCAACGGTTGCAAGTGGGAGGACTCACTTTTTTCAGTGCCATTGTAACTTCAAACAGTTGCTAAACAAATGGTTGTAAGTCAAGGACTGCCTATATTGGAAGTTTAATTAGTGACAGACTTACCACCTGCCTTCACCTAACATGCTAGTTGGGTTTATATTAACGTTGATTAGGGTTTGTTGTGACCTACTCTATAGGCAAACCCAGTTTAATTGGTTAGTTTATAATAGTGTAACAGAATAACAGAGTTGGGAGGGACCTTGGAGATCTTCTAGTCCAACCCCCTGCTGAAGCAGGAAACCCTACACCCTTGTGGACTTCAATACCCAGAATTCCTGAACCAGCCATGCTGATTCAGGAATTCTGGGAGTTGAAGTCCACAAGTCATAAAAGAGCCAAGGTTGCCTACCCCACCCCCTGCCCTACACCGTTTCAGACAAATGGCTGTCCAGTCTCTTCTTGAAAACCTCCAGTGATGGAACAATTTATTTTAGGCAGATAATTTATGCTTCAAGTGGCCCACATACATGCAACATCCCCAATTTTGTGGGTGTTCCTCAGGACACATGATATCATGCCCATGATGATGTTATGGCACAAATGTCATGTTACGTATGACATACAGGTGGCTTCTAATTAGCTTGTCCCAAGGGTGCTTTTTCAAAAGGCAATTGGACTTTCTTTGTTTTTCTTTGAAGACATTTCGCTTCTCATCCAAGAAGCTTCTTCGGTTCAAGGAAAAACAAAAAAAGGACAAAGCCCAGTTCCTTTTGAAAAAGCAGTTTTGGGACAACCATGACCTGGATGATTAAGAATCTCCATGGACATTCTACCTAGCTTGTTCCCTCAATTTACCCTATATTTGGGGACATATTTCTGTCACCCAGATCCCTTCTTTAAGCACCTCAGAGGTAGGCCTCACTCTCTCACCTCTTGAGTTTGCCCCAAAACTGAAATCTTATTCTTGGCTACTAAAACATTACAGAATCAGGAGCGTCTCCAAGGGTGGCGCACGACGGCCCTTTAATGACTTGCGGACTTCAATTCCCAGAATTCTTGAGCCAGCCATGGAATTCTGGGAGTTGAAGTCCACAAGTCATAAAGGGGACATCGTTCTCCACCTCTGGTCTACAGGGTGTGAATGGGTACGGGTCAAGATGGCGTCCCCTTCCTGATGCCCAGTCCTGATTACCAGCAAAATCTGTTTTCAAGCAGAACGGACACTGCTCCTTCCTTGCACATTTTGCCCTTAAGGTCAAATTAGCAAAGGCCTTTTGA